TTTAATAAATTTTTAAAAAATAATAAATAAAAAAATAAAATAAAATATACTAGAGGTACTGAGGAATCCAGTTCCTGGTTAAAACCCCATGTGTGATTTCTTGGACTTGACCACAAGCCAAATCCCAGGCTTAGCCAGCAGGTCTCCTGTGCCCGGGGGCCATCTCTGAGGGGAGCTGTAGTCAGGGTCTCAGGCACCCCCACCCCCCAAGTCAGCCATGTTCGGTCACACGCTTGTATTCCTAGCGCAGGCACCTTCGTTCCTGAGTCTCTTTATCTGGGCCTTGGGCAGACCTTCTTCGGGATCCTTGCTGAGCCTCCTCAGGGGAAAGGGGGGGAAGCCCTGAGGATGCGGTCCCCACTCTCAGTCCCCAGCACTTACCCCCCCTTCCCTCCCCTCTCCAGGGTCCGTGACAGGCTTTTGCTGGAGCCTTCTGTTCAGGGCTCTCCCCACCTCAGTGCTGATCCACCTGACCCTCAACCAGTATCCAGTCCAGGAGGGAAAGGAACGTGGGGACTCAGAGCTTTCTTGCGTTTAGGTTTAAGGCTCTTGCTTTACCACCACAGTAACTGATTAAAGGTTTAACTCTTCCATTTTCGGCTTGTTGGCGTTAACTGGCTACTCATACTTGGCAGCTCTGCTCACTCTCTCCCAGGCTTAGCTGAGCTCCTGAAAAGTATGACAAGAAAGGCAGTATCCAAAACCAAGTGGCTTCTGTCCTCCTAGATACTCAAGTCAAATCAAGGCACAGTGTTCCAGCTGGTTTGCAATCAAACCCTGAGGGATTTGACTTACGCTGACATCTCCCCCCGTTGGTGGGATCACCATAGAAGCCAGATATGCAGGTCTCGCAGTGCTTGCCTGTGGTCAGGTTCTCACACTTCTCACAGATACTCTGATTAATGCACTTGCTGTGGCCATTGCACTGGCATGCTGAAAGAGAAAGCATTAAAAAAAAAAAAAAAAAAGGAAGAAAGAAAGCGTTTTAGGGGGCCTGCCCCGTGGTAGAACAGGGTGGAGTAAATTCCACGAGATTTATTTGCAACTATCTATTTAATTCCTTATTACCTCTAAATACAAAACTATTAAAACTGGCACACTAAAAACGAGTTTGAGAAATAAGATCAAAACATCCATCCAATTTGCAACGACGTGGATGGAACTAGAGGGTGTTATGCTGAGCGAAATAAGTCAATCAGAGAAAGATATGTATCATATGATCTCACTGATACGAGGAATTCTTAATCTCAGGAAACAAACTGAGGGTTGCTGGAGTGGTGGGGGATGGGAGGGATGGGGTGGCTGGGTGATGGACATTGGGGAGGGTATGTGCTATGATGAGCTCTGTGAATTGTGCAAGACTGATAAATCACAGACCTGTACCTCTGAAACAAATAATACATTATATGTTAAAAAAAAAAAAAAGAAGAAGATAGCAGGAAGGGAAAAATGAAGGGGGGGAAATCAGAGGGGGAGATGAACCATGAGAGACTATGGACTCTGAGAAACAAACCGAGAGCTCTAGAGGGGAGGGGGTTGGGGGAATGGGTTAGCCCGGTGATGGGTATTAAAGAGGGCACGTACTGAATGGAGCACTGGGTGTTATACGCAATGAATCATGGAACACTCCATCAAAAACTAAGGATGTAACGTATGGTGATTAACATAATAAAATAAAAGAAAAAGAAAAAGAAAAAAAATCCATCCAGGGTTAGTCCAGGAAAATCAGAAATATACCACAGCAGGATGAAAGTTTACAGCCATTAAAAAAATAATTTGTGGTTGTTCATAAAAATAATGTATGTTCATGACAGTAAATTTGAAAAAATATACGGAAGAGGGGAAAATCATATTCAACTGCACCACGCACAGATCACTGTGCACATTTGGGATTTTTAGTTCCAGGAATTTATTTTTTCTATATAGTTTTACACAGTTGTGCTCATATTAATACACAACTTTGATTTTTTTTTTTTACTTACAGCACAATTACTTTACATTATTTCATCCATCATAAACAAAACCTTAAATGGCAGAATGATTTCTATGAATCATAACAGCTATTTAACCATTCCCTTACATTCTGATATTTAGTTTGCTTTCAATTTTTCTTTTTTAGAAGAATAACCATCTTTATATATAAAAACATTCCCACAAGTGTAATTAATAAGATTCTTGATGCACATAGGACCTTACAACTAGAAAGGCATATGAAACCTGGACCTCTCGGGACTGCTCAGGACAGCTGTTTAGGCTGTGCACTGCAGACTCCAGTGGGGCCATCCACAGAGTGCACAATCTACACCATTGCAGACAGAAGACCTGACTCTGCAAATCTGTCTTTTTCCCCCAGCTTTACTGAGACACTACTGACACGCAATATTGTGTGAGGAGTAGAATGCACTGATTTGATACACTCATATATCGCAAAATGATTTCTACCCATGGCGTTAGCTAACATCTTGTCACATAACTACTATTTCTTTCTTGTGGTGACATGTCAGGTTTACTTTTTTAGCAACTTTTGCAGATCTCTCTTGGCTGATCAATGTGATATAGCTTTCCACCATTGTGGCAACTTTTCATAGCCTTGCACCTGTAGTTCACGTACCTGTTTCCTATCCCATCGCTAATGTATTTGACTTGTTCTATACAGGCTGTAACTGAAAGACTTAACTATGACTATAGCAGTCATTATTGCACCAAAAATACTTCAGAGGTGTGGGATATGCATGTCGTTCCTGTGAAGATGACCAACTGTACGGATACCAAAAGGGAAAAGCACAACACACACACACAAATGCAATACCTAAAATCATTTACCAATAAAATCTGTATTCTAGATAAAAAGACTAGAAACACGCTTCTCTCTCTCTTCCCCTTCAAAATCCCACTGAAATTATGGAAAAAATGTAAAAACAAGGATAAATCCATAGGAATATGGGGTAAGAGGAAAAGGTGTATCAGATGTATTGAGAGGTACTTCTGAATTACTGAGCAATTTCTAGAAATTATAAAACAGATGGTGTCAATCTGACAGAAAAAGGGAGTTGAGACATCTGTCTTCCTAATGTAGAAGGAGGGGACAGTGAAAGTGACTAGATGCACTTTACCAACTGACACCTGAAAAATCCAGCTCGGGCTGGGAGACAGAACAGGCCCAGGACGTGCCTCCTGACCAGTTCCATGTCTGTTCAACCTCCCACCACATACAAAAATAAACCCAAAATGGCTTATGAACCTAAAGAAAAGAGAAAATCTATGGAACTTTAAAAAGAAAAGATAAGAGTAAATCTTTGTGATCTTGGGTTAGCTAGACACTGATTTCTTAGATATAATACCAAAAGCACAGAGGATAAAATTTAGAACTCTTATGTTTCAAAAGATACCACCAAAAAAGTAAGAAGAAACCCTCAGAATGGGAGAAGGTATTTGCACATCATTTAGTCAATAAGAACTTGTATCTAGACTTCATAAAGAATTCTATGGGTCAATAATAAACAAATGAACAATTTAAAAATGGGCAAAGAGGGGCGCCTGGGTGGCTCAGTTGGTTAAGCATCTGCCTTTGGCTGAGGTCATGATCCTGGGGTGCTGGGATCGAGCCCCGCATTGGGCTCCCTGCTCCACGGGGAGTCTGCTTGTCCTTCTCCCTCTACCCCTCCCCCCTGCTCATGCTCTCTCTCTCAAATAAATAAAATCTAAAAAAAAGGAGAGAGAACTTTTTAAAGAATGGGCAAAGAATTCAAATAGACATTTCTCCAAAGAAGACACAGATGGCCTGTAAGATGCTCAACTTTAGTCATTAGAGAAATGCAAATCAAAACCAGAGATACCATTTCTCACACACTACAACATCTGCAATTAAAAAACAAACAAACAAACAACCCCCCCCCCCAAAAAAAAACAGACACAAGTACTGATGAGCACGTGGAGAAGTCTTAACCTTTTCAGGCTGGCCAGTGAGGGTGAAAAATGGTACCGCTACTTTGGAAAACCCCATGCCCTTTATTCCTCATTCATACCCCCAGCCCCAGGTGATTGCTAAGCTCTTATTTGTCTCTCTATATTTGCTCTTTTTTGGACATCTCACATAAATGGTATCATATAATATGCAGTCTTTGCATCTGACTGCCTTTACATAGCATGCTTTTGAGACTCATCCGTGTCACAGACTACAGTACTTCATTCACCCCTTTTACCATTTAGCCGTATCCATCATATGAACGTATCACATTTTGTTTATCTATTCACCAGCTGACAGACACTGGGTTGTTTCCACTTTTGTCTATTATGAATAATGCTGCTATAAGCATTCACTGCAAGTTTCTGTGTGGACATATGTTTTCAATTCTCTTGGGTATATACTGGGCCATATGATAAGTCTATGTTTAACATTTTGAGAAACTGCCAAACTGTTTTCCAAAGTGGCCACACCATTTTACATTCCTTCCAGCAATGTGTGAGGGTTCCAATTTCCCGAATGTTGTTGAGCATCTTTTCCTGTGCTTATTGGCCATTTGTGTCTCTTCTTTGGAGAAATGTCTATTTCAATCTTTTACCCATTTCTTAATTGGGTTGTCTTTTTACTGTTGAGTTTTAAGAGTTCTTTACATATTCTGGACGTTAGATTCTTACCAGACACTGTATATGATTTGCAAATATTTTCTCCCATTCCGTGGGTTGCCATTTCACCTCATATACTCTTGATATTAATAAAAATGCACAGACTTAAATACTTCATGAGTTAAACTAGTAGATTAGAAACAGAATGACAGATCCTTTGACATCTTAGAGAGGAAAAAAGGGAACACAGAAAATTTAATTCAATTTGAAGGGAAAAGACTGGTTTCTTATCTTGCATTTCCCTACTCTGTTTCCTTTTCTGAGAAAGACTTCTTTACATCCATTGCCCGCTTTTTCTGTTGAGCTGACAGCGCTTTCTTCTGGAGGGCAGAGGTTTGCATACTCAGGATGATAATCACTTATTACGTGCACTGCATATATGTTCCCCCGCCCGTCTCTTGCCTTTCACCGTTGCTCACAGTGTTCTTTCCGTTACAGAAGTCCTCACAAAGAGCCTTGTTGTCAGCGGCACCTTCCCACTCTTGGAGATGTTCCTACCCACCAACCTCCTGGGGGTCTTTGCACCTGCCTAACCTCCCCCAGCTGTTCTGGAGGCCCATCAGCATATTCCTGAGTATTTACTGAAAGTCTGAATCAAAGGCCAGTTTCTCAGGACAGCATCCCCAGCAGGTGTAGACTCAGGCTTTAGGCCAACTCATGATCTATTCCTTCTGGCACCAACCACTGGAACGAAGGAGGGGAAGGGAGCAGAGGGAGAGTAGGAGGGAGGCAAGGAGCGAGAGAAGGCAGATAGGCTTAATTTTTCCTCTTGCCAGAAGGGATAGGGACCTTTTCCCTCTCCCTTTTCTTAGAGCTTTTCAAGAAAACCTGTATTTACAAATCCTTTCTCTGTTCCTTTGATATGTATATGTATGTAAATCTTTTTTTTAAAAAAAACTAAATACCTTTAAAAAAAACCTCTTGTCAGCACAACAATCCAGGAATGTTTTTCTTAAGGCCCTGGGAGCCATCACTTTGAAATGTAAACATCAAGGAAGGCAGCACTCTATATTCCTATCACTTTGGGAATTCAGTCTGGGTGCATTTGTGCCGAAGTGTAACCATCTGCTTGCCATAAAGATAAAGGAATTTTTTCTTTTTTTTATAAAGGCAATTAACTAACACAGGTGGCCACCCCAATTCCCAAGTAAATTCAGGATAAGCTATGAAAGAAGGTACAACAGGGCGCCTGGGTGGCTCAGTTGGTTAAGCGACTGCCTTCGGCTCAGGTCATGATCCTGGAGTCCCTGGATC